GTACATTAGACAGATCTAATATACAGTCTGCTCAGTTATTTAGAAACTCTACCTTTAAACTAGCCTACAGTCAGATTAGGATTAGATAACTGGATTGGATCATTGGTTTTGTTTTGATCAGGATTTTTCGCCTTTTAGATTAGGGATGTCCAACTTTATGGATCAATTTATAAACTAAATATGCACTCCTGTCCTGTTCTTTTGTGTGTGTTTCTGTTTTTTAAACTTTTACTTCTGTGGCCAAATGAAAACATCACTGCCTCCCATTGGCGTTTTTAGAACATTTGGGGGGGGTGCGCTGAAGCACCCATAAATTGAACCATAGCACACCTAAAATAAGGATTGGTTTTTTTATATATATTGTTTGCTATTTTTAAACTTTTTATATATTATTTAAAAAGTATACATACTCTCTCATTAAAGATGGAAAAATCAGCTGCCATTGAAATAGCAGAAATTCAATGAAAATAGGGCCATTAATTTTGAATTGTGGTTCAACAGAAATATTAATAAAAAACAAACAAACAAGCAAAAAAAAAAAAAAAAAAAAAACAGGTAAACCAACAAGATGGAGCTTCTAAACTAAAATGTTGAGGGAATCACTGCAATCAAGTGTTTTCGTAAATTTTCAGTCAGATTTCTACTTCTATTGATGGTTTGTTGGTGAAACATTCATGAGCAGACAAGAGAGAAAGGTGCTCATTACCTGGGACTGTTTTTTTTAAATTGTTATTTTTAAAATCACAATTCAAATCAATATTTCAATTTAACAAATCATAATTTTGTATGTTTTTATTTCTACTGTATATTTCTTTTTTAGGTCTAAATTTTCAAGCACAACTGTACACTCACCGGCCACTTTATTAGGTACCCCATCCTAGTAACGGGTTGGACCCCCTTTTGCCTTCAGAACTGCCTCAATTCTTGGTGGCATAGATTCAACAAGGTGCTGGAAGCATTCCTCAGGGAGTTTGGTCCATATTGACATGATGGCATCACACAGTTGCCGCAGATTTGTCGGCTGCACATCCATGATGCGAATCTCCCGTTCCACCACATCCCAAAGATGCTCTATTGGATTGAGATCTGGTGACTGTGGATGCCATTTGAGTACAGTGAACTCATTGTCATGTTCAAGAAACCAGTCTGAGATGATCCCAGCTTTATGACATGGCGCATTATCCTGCTGAAAGTAGCCATCAGAAGTTGGGTACATTGTGCTCATAAAGGGATGGACATGGTCAGCAACAATACTCAGGTAGGCTGTGGAGTTGCAACGATGCTCAATTGGTACCAAGGGGCCCAAATAGCGCCAAGAAAATATTCCCCACACCATGACACCACCACCACCAGCCTGAACCGTTGATACAAGGCAGGATGGATCCATGCTTTCATGTTGTAGACGCCAAATTCTGACCCTACCATCCGAATGTCGCAGCAGAAATCGAGACTCATCAGACCAGGCAACGTTTTTCCAATCTTCTATTGTCCAATTTCGATGAGCTTGTGCAAATTGTAGCCTCAGTTTCCTGTTCTTAGCTGAAAGGAGTGGCACCCGGTGTGGTCTTCTGCTGCTGTAGCCCATCTGCCTCAAAGTTCCACATACTGTGCGTTCAGAGATGCTCTTCTGCCCACCTTGGTTGTAACGGGTGGTTATTTGAGTCACTGTTGCCCTTCTATCAGATCGAACCAGTCTGGCCATTCTCCTCTGACCTCTGGCATCAACAAGGCATTTCCGCCCACAGAACTGCCGCTCACTGGATGTTTTTTTCTTTTTCGGACCATTCTCTGTAAACCCTAGAGATGGTTGTGCGTGAAAATCCCAGTAGATCAGCAGTTTCTGAAATACTCAGACCAGCCCTTCTGGCACCAACAATCATGCCACGTTCAAAGTCACTCAAATCACCTTTCTTCCCCATACTGATGCTCGGTTTGAACTGCAGGAGATTGTCTTGACCATGTCTACATGCCTAAATGCACTGAGTTGCCGCCATGTGATTGGCTGCTTAGAAATTAAGTGTTAAAGAGCAGTTGGACAGGTGTACCTAATAAAGTGGCCGGTGAGTGTATATATTTACCTTGTTAAAAACAATCCATTTTAGGATTGTAAATCCAAAGACTCAGAGGTTTACAATGGGAATGAGAGGAGCAGGCTTGGACTGGGAACGATTTTCGGGCACCGGCCCACTCCCACATGCAAAATATCCCAACATGAATTCGCCAAATATAAGAGGAACATCATAGTTTGGTTTAAAGAAAGCATTTTGGTTTTATTATTATTTAGTTTGTTGCAAGTATTTTATAAATAGGATTTTACAGTTTGAAGAAATAGAAAATTACATCAAATGCCAACCATCACAAGGATGTGCATGGCAAGAAAGGGCTATATATACTGCATGCATTATTTAAGTGCTTAACATTGTATTACTTTTTTAGCTCCTTGAGTTATTTACTGTCTCAGGTAGGTGCTTTGACCAGAGAGTAAGTGATTTAAGGAGGGCCGGTCCTCGCATGCTGAAATTAGGACTGACCGGTATCACAGATTACCAGTCCGAGCCTAGAGAGGAGCAAGGTGTGAGGTCAGGAAAAGCCAGCTGAGTTACCATACTGCTTGTCCAAAAAGACAAAAACACAGAAAGACAAATCACAATAGTCTCAGAGCTCCCTGGTTCCTCAGCACCCCTAAACCTCTGATCCTAGAATCGCCTCCCGCTGCCCCCCATAAATGTAATCCAGAACAGAGCCGTAGCCAGAAAATATTTATAAGGGGGGCCAGGCAATAACCAATGTACACTGAGGGGGGGCCGAAAGTAGATAGGCACCAAAACCTCAGGGTCAATCTATACTGTTCCAACAGGAAAATTAACAAGCAAAACATCCATATTTTATAAAGAAAAACTATACTTTCCCACAGCCTTAGCTAAAAAATTTTAGGCAAATATATTCAAACATCTGTGCTTTCTAGATAAAAGGTATAGTGGATACAATTCTTTCAGGTTTTGGGCGAACATCTTTTCCATTGTCATTATTTACCTACTTTTATCAGCACTCATTCTGCATAAAAGTTGATATTTACAAGTACAAATATCTACATAAATTGATTATTTAATAAGTTTATATTAAAATGGTTATTTATCTATGATTTCAATGAAGACTCCTGGATGATTTTTCCCTTTACCTCATATAACACAAAATCTATTTCTGCTTTAATTCTGTATTTATCATCTTTAATGTTAGTATATTGATGTGCATAATTAACCACAGTGTTTTTGTTGTCAAGTAATTGTTAATATATGAAAATTTTAAATGTTTTGAATATTCCATTTGAGATTGCTGCTGCCACCATCTGTATTAGAGGGAAATAAATGTGGCTACAGGGGTGGCCAATGATTGGCCAAGGCAAGGCAAGGCAAGGGAAATTTATTTTTTATAGCACAATTCAGTACAAAGACAATGCAAAGTGCTTTACGTGATTAAAATATAGGAAAATAAAACAGAATCAAAGCAAGTATGAAAAAAAATGCAGAAACAAAAAGAAAAAATAAAAACAGTTGGATTAAAGAAAATATGTTATAGTTGAACTGTTTAACTAGAACAGTTGAAGGCAATCCTAAACAAATGTGTTTTTAGTCTTGATTTAAAGGAACTCAGGCTTTCTGCACTTTTACAGTTTTCTGGAAGTTTGTTCCAGATAAGTGGAGCATAGGAACTAAATGCTGCTTCTCCATGTTTAGTTCTGGTTCTAGGTCTGCAGAGCAGGCTGGAGCCAGAAGACCTGAGTGGTCTGGAGGGTTGATACACTGATAGCAAGTCTGTGATGTATTTAGGTGCTAAGCCATTCAGAGATTTATAGACTAACGAAAGTATTTTAAAGTCTATTCTCTGAGATACAGGGAGCCAGTGGAAGGACTTTAGAACTGGGGTGATGTTCTCTACTTTCTAAGTCTTAGTGAGGACACGGGCAGCTGCGTTCTAGATCAGCTGCAGCTGTCTGATCCACTTTTTAGGCAGACCTGTGAAAACACCGTTGCAGTAATCAATTCGACTAAAAATAAACGCATGGATTAGTTTTTCCAGATCATGCTGAGACATTAGTCCTTTAATCCTGGAAATGTTCTTCAGGTGATAGAAAGCCCACCTTGTAACTGTCTTTAAATGCTTTTGGAGGTTCAAGTCTGAATCCAGCACTACACCTAGACTTCAGGCCTGATCAGTGGTTACTAGCTGAAGCGACTGAAGCTGTGTGCTAGGCAAGGCAAGGCAAGGCAAATTTATTTGTATAGCACAATTCAGTACAAAGACAATGCAAAGTGCTTTACATGATTAAAATACAGGAAGATAAAACAGAATCAAAGCAAGTAAGAAAAAAAAAATAAAATAAAAAAAAATGCAGAAACAAAAAAGAATATTAAAAACAGTTGGGTTATCATTTGATCAAAAATGTCTCCTTGGGCAGTTGACAATTCCCCAGAACCCTGCCTTTTGTTCTACTACCATAGAACTGCAAAACCTTTTCCATTATCTACAGGTAATTTAACTCTGCCCGATACACACCAATCCTATGGTGCCAACCTGGATAACTGGGGGGGATCCCACTCTAGATTACCGACGTCTCAGTAAAATTAAATGCCTTCTGGTGGCACCTACAACCTTCCTCTCACTCTTAGAGAGAGCCTCACGTGTGCTAACTTTAGATGTCTCCTCTATTGGTCCAAAGATTATTACTTCAGTTTTGTTTTTATTCAGTTGAAGAAAATTATGGCATTGATTTCCTCTAAGCATTTCCTCAGTGCTTGAATTGGTTCATAATCACCTGGTGACATGGTGATGTAAAGAAGTGTGTCCTCTGCATCATGGTAGCTGATGTTGTTGTGGCCATGGCCACCCCTGGCCCCCCATCTAGCTCCGCCCCTGATCCAGAACCGCCGCTGCATTGATTATTTGCACAGACAGCTTGCCATAAACGTTCGTGCGCACATGCGTAAAATGCAGCAGGGGTTCGCGCATGGCATCTCCTTCGCTGGCCTCCCGTCTCCTGCCGCTGGGTCGCTGCTGATGCCGAGCGGCTCAGCCTGCGCGTTCTGACGTGCGGCTACAGCCGTAGTTACCAAACCGGAGAGGAGCCTGAAACATGATGACGGAAGGTCCCCATGGTTCCTCAGCATCCCGACGGCTGTAACCCCGGTGGATTTATCAGAGGTGAGAATGCGTCTGTGGATCTCTGAGGAGATCTCCCTCCCTCCCCCCACGTATTCACCCTGGACCACTCCGCTCAGCCTCCCAATCTGACTCCTCTCTGCCGACGGTGACGATGCTCTAAACGCAACCTGCCTGCGCTCCATCCGGTAAACGCCATCTCTCTTTACTGATGTCGAGGCGGTCTGCGAGATTTGACAAGATGCAAGATCTGCACTGTTTTTTGTTGTCCAGAAAAGGAAGGGAAGGGAATAGAAAAATCAAATAATCACGACACGATTCCCATTGCGGAAATAAAATAACCTAAATAGGCATTTAAATCAGCAACATGGCTGCATTGATGGTCCCCCTGGAGTGATTCCCTCAGAGTGGGAATAAAAGCTGCAAGAAAGGGAGAAATAAATGATGTGAGCGGTCAGGAGGTACTGCAGTAAGCAAGAGTCCTTCTGTTCAATCGCCTCAAAGGATGTTGTCATTACCTCCAAGCTGAAGGTGCGGTTACACTCTACCCTCATAGGCCTGACCATAGTCTTAAAGCTTTATCTAATTTATTTCAAGTGCACTTAAATTACCTCACTTGGATTTTAATCGTCCCAAGAGTGTGAATGGCAATGTGCAAACATCTGTAATTTATTCTAAGGGAAAACTAACAACTTGTTCCAGATCAGAGGATGCTGTTCTCTGAATGGTCCTCCAGTGAAATCTACTGATCACATCCTGTTCTGCTGACTTGTGCACATTGGTCTCTTAATAAAAACCTTTTTTTTTTTCCTGATTTACAAATAGGGCTTTAGTTTTCATCAGGATTGCTTCTCCAACTATTGTTTGGCAGCAACGTTTTCTCAAATATCTCTGTTTTCTTTGTTGCTGGAGCAGAAGCGGGGTTACTCCTAATGGGCTAAATGGTTTAAATGGTGATTCTGAAAACATTCATCAGACACCAAAATCTAAATAAATATTCTGGTAACTAAATCTATCGGCTGTTCTGTGTGCAAAATGAGTCACGCATCCTAAAAATGTAAGTAGGCTTATTTGTTTTGACGTTACACACCCCAAAAAAAAGCCATTTTATTTTATTTTTAGTGTGATTGCTAAATGCAATAAAAACAATACATGGTGCTTTAACTATATTTGTTAAAGATCTGAAAAGACTGACAAAAAACACATTTTACTGATGTACAGCGGCGTCCTGAGTCGTGTCTCTACCAGCTTTTAGCTTTCAGATTCGCTAAAAAACAACATCTTCAATTTTTGCCTCTGATTTTTAACTGATACAGTTCTGCACTTGGACTTGTTCGGAGTGGCCCTGCTGACAGTTGAACCTTCTCACCACTCCGACGTCTCTCACTCCGTCTTACAGATTCTGTAAGTCAGGCTGGCCTTCCTGTCCTAGGAGACAAAAAGAAACATTCCAACAACTTAATACTACCACCACCGTGTCAGATAGTTGGGATTCTGTCTTCAGGGTGCAATAAAACATTTTCTCCATGTGCAGCATCAGGTAGGCAGTCCTAAAAGTCCACATTTGTGTTTATCTTATCAGAGCTCCTTCTGCCTGGCTGCTGTGTCCTCTACCTGGCTTATGAAAACAGCGCAAATCAAAATTCTAATAATTTCTTTCAACATTTTCTGTCTTTTTGCCACTCTTGCCCTCTTAGCTGCTTCTCCGATTAGATATAAAGGCCCTGTGTTTTTATAGGTTTGCAGATGTCCCGTGGTCTTTCATTTTGGTTCTCTATAGATGTCCAAAGCCTGGAACATTGTTTTATAAACTAAATTTACTTCAAACTTCTCCATCCACCATCTGTAGTTCATCAACAATTTTAGTAATCGATTAATCGTTAACTTGAGTACTTCAAAACATGCCTTTGGCTCAAAGAGCAACCAACTCAGAGCACTTATTATACCAAAATTGTAAAAAAAAAAAAAAAAAAAAAAAAAATATATATATATATATATAAACATTTTGCATTCAAGATGAAAAATCTTGTCCGCCCATTAAATATGCTCGATCCAGAAGTCCTCAAACCGCACAGTTTTAGCCTCACTTGGTTTAGATTCTGTGTAAAATATTCTTTCTATAAGATTGTTAACTGATTAATCTAAAAAAGAATCGACAGATTAATCGTTTAAATAGTATTTACTGTATGCTGAGATCAGAAAAGACACAAGGGAGCTCCAACAGCAGCCTTTTACTATAGATTATAAAGGGGTATTCGAGTAGAGGGGGGAAAGTAGAAAAAGTTCACCAAACCTGAGAAAGTGGGGTAAACTTTTTCAGTTTTGAAAGCTATTTTCCTTCAACCTTGACATTATTCACTTCATTTTCCTGCTTAATCATCTAAAACCTGGATATATATGTAGAATTATCGAGTGAGAAGCTGTGAAAAGATTCAAGTTTGAATACTTTAGCAAGGCATTGCATAAGGAGCTAACTAAAATGTTTAACCCAAGTTTGATTTGCCAGCTTGATGTATTTGAGTGAGCAAAGGTTTTTGCTTTATAGCAAACAAAAGCAAAATATAAATTTTTTGCTTGCAGGACCTTAGGATCTTTAAGCAGCTCAGCTGACTATCACCTCCTTACTAACATTCATGTGACCCATGCCTAGGGTGCACAGAACAAACATGTGGTCTGACGTTTTCCCAGGGACACCCAGCGCTCATTGGCCGGCCTTAATGTGCTCTTTGTCCATCATCATTTAATAGTTCCTCTGCAGCTCTGTTGTTGTCATCAGCCCACAGGATGCAGGCGTTGCTGAGCGCGATGTCATGGAGAATTATCATTTGTGTAGACCACAGGCCCTGGATGGCTCCTAAGGTTGTGCGCCCATATCTCTATATAAGCAGAGAGGAGAAACAACAGCCCAGACTGGGAGTTAATAAAGTCTTTGAAGAGAAGAAGAAGAAAGGAATATTTAATTACTTTTCTTTTTTTAATGTAAAACTACATTAGGGGAAAAATTGAGAGCCTGAAAATAGGATCAAGCTAAAAACACCCCTTCACTAAGATTTCACTGTCCTTCCTTCCTAGGTTCGACCTTCAGGGCATCACTTTGGGTGATATCTAATCAGAAGCAGGTAAGCACCTTAGAACTGTTGAATTCAGACACACTGAAAAGATGCCAAAATCATTATAATTAGGATGATTTCAGGTTTCCAATCAGTTTTATTGTTCGTATGGATTCTACCATGAAATGCAGTCACATAATAATAACTCACTGTCCTCCACAAAACCCCCCCACACCCTCAGATTGTAATGGTTAAATGCACTTTCCAGTAAAAATCAGATCAAAAAATAAAAAGGGCATTAAATTGAAAGCAGCAAAGAGGGCCATAGTAACCAGATATTCACTAATCAAGGGGGTGAATTTGTGAACAGGTCTTACTGTAGTTCACAAATATAGTCTTTGCCATTGAAAGGCAAGGAGGTCAGATTTGTATTTGTTTTACATCTTGGACACCGTTAGGCACTCCTTTGTCAACGAGACTCTTCGGTTCAAGAAGCAGGAAGATTTTTTTCCTAAGACTCAGTTTCTGTTGTATTTGTATTGGATCATATCAGAGAACTTCATTCATTTCAAAGTGACTACATTAATAGGGTGCTGCTGGCTGAACTTTAAGTGCTGCATGCTCTGGTGTTTGATGGGCCACAGGATGATCGAAGAAGGCAGTAAACGAGGCAAGGCCATGGTCGAGAAGAGACAGCTCTTCATGGAAATGAGTGAGTGAAGTCAGCTCATGTAGAACTGTTTGACTAGCGGTGTGCTCTCTCATAATGTTTAAATGTGCCTGCATAACCCTGTTTAGAACTGGAATAGTGTTATGCTTTTATTGTGAAAGTATACTCTGAAAAAAGGCAGCTACTAGCAGTTTGTAACATAATAATGTGTTTTTGTGAAGCTATTAGAGACATTACTACTGATGCAGGGCTATTTTTGGCACGATTCAGGTTCTTTTACTTTTTACCGTCTAAATAAGCCAATATTATAATTATTAAGAGCCTCATTAATTATCTGTCTTATAATGGGGACCAATAAAAGAATGTTTTATCACAACTTGGTCTCTATGTTGTGTTTTTCTTTTTTTTATTATTATTATGGCTTTGTTTTTCAGGAGCGCAAAACTTTGATGTAATCAGATTATCAACTTATAGGACTGCCTGCAAACTCCGGTTTGTCCAAAAGAGATGCAATCGTAAGTTCCTTTCCAAATTTGATCTCTGAGGACATTTTATGAAGATGACAGCCATGAATACATGTTCTGATGATGAGTCTCTTCCTCCCTCCCTTTTCACAGTCCATCTGGTGGATGTCTGGAACATGATCGAAGCTTTCAGAGACAACGGGCTCAACACGCTGGACCACAACGCTGAGATCAGTGTGTCACGGCTGGAGACAATCCTGTCTTCCATCTATTACCAACTCAACAAGCGGCTGCCCACCACCCACCAGATCAATGTGGAGCAGTCCATCGGGTTGCTGTTGAACTTCATGGTGGCTACCTATGACAGGTTTGGGACAAGCGGTCGGCACAGGACTGATACAAAACCACTATACCGGATAATGAGTCCAGAATGCTTTTAATGTCATATACAATACCAAACATTTATCAGCAAACCTTGTACAGATGTGTAAAAAATCCTAAATATCATATATGATAAAATATTGCCTTTGGCACTACAAAGTATTCATGTAATGAATTATTAGTAGTTTTTAATGCTATTTTCCCACCTGAAAGAAAGACACTTGCCTTCAATGAGATAATGCATCTCTCTATGTGGGCGCCACCCGCTATATGACATCATCGTATCACTCCATTTCTGGCTGTGAAGCTGTTCTCTGGGAAGACGGAGCAAAGTCTGGAGCCTCCTGAAGCCAAAAATCACTTTTTCAACACTTAGACATTAACTACAACAGAGGAGTTGCTGTCACTGTGCAGATCAGAGGCTAAAAGGGTGAGGGTTTGTTTCAACTTAAGCAGAAATGATCCTGCGCGCTGCCTCAAAACACCACCTGCTGATTGAAAATGTAGCATTTTGTTTACTGGTAAGGAATGGCAGGAACATCCTAGATGCTTTTTGTAGGGGGTTGGAATTACTGCTCTGGGTAGAACGTTGATGGCTACTTATATTCCAGGACAGGGAAGGGCAGCTGCTCAGAGAGTAGGATTCAGGAGGGCTACTCAGACGTACATGAATCAAGCAAAATACAATTTTGGGTCCAATTTTGGTGAAGGTATAGCATTATAACTCGTTAGAAGTCCAAAAAAGTTGATTCCAAAAGATATAGGCCCCAAGGTTCACTAACTTAAAAAAATTGTTCATTTGGATAAAAAAAAAATCAGATTATATCATTAGAAAAAATGATTACAATTTATCTCCTTTTTTTATGTCACGTTTAACTTGAACAGTAGAGAGGAGAAAAAGGAAAAGCATACCCATCAAAGATTTGACGTCACTTTTGAGGTTTATTTGTATAGAACAATACAGTACATGAACAATTAAAAGTTGAACCACAACCTTGAACTAATGATACCTCAGTTAGCAGTTTAATTTCAACAGTCAAAGGCAGTTCTAAACAAATGATTTTTAAAACTTTGACTTAAGGGAGTTTGCTCCAGAAAAGTGGAGCATAGGAACTGATGTTTGATTCTTGTTCTGGGCGTACAGAGTGGGCTTGAACCAGAAGACCTGACTGCTCTGGAAGGCTGATAACTAACAACAGATCTTTTATGTATAGAGGCACTGATCCATTCAGTGATTTATAGATTAACAGAAGTCTGTTCTCTGAGCTACAGTGAGCCAATGTAAGGACTTTAGACCCAGGCTGATGTGTTCTACTTTTTTGGTTCTAGTGAGAACACAGGCAGCAGCATGTTGGATCAGCTGCAGCTGTCTGATGGAATTTATAGACAAACCTGTGAAGACACTGTTGCAGTAATCAGTTGTACTAAAGATAAATGCATTGATGATTTTTTTTCTTGATCCTGATAAGACATTAGTCCTTTAATCCTGGAAAAGATCTTTAGGTGATGAAAGGCTGACCTGGTAACTGTCTTTATGTGCATCTGAAGGTTCAGGTCTGAATCCATCATGACACCAAGATTTCTGTCATAATCAGTGGTTTCTAGCTATAGTAGCTAAAGCTGTAAGCTAGCTCTGGATCTCTCCTCCTTTGGTCTGAAAATTATTACCTTAGTTTTGTTTTTATCCATCTGTTTCTCACGGGTTCATAGTCCCCTGGTAATATTGTGATATAAAGCTGTGTGTCGTCTGCATAGTTATGGTTAATGATCGTGTTGATTGTTATAATCTGAGCTAAGGATAGCATGCAGATGTTGAGTAGGAGAGGCCCCAGGATGGATTCATGAGGAACTCCACATGTGATTGTCTGGTCTCCGATTTAAAGTTCCATAGTGACACATAAAAGTGACAATCCTTATATTTAGACACAATCCAAATTTTAACATGTATTACTGCAGCTCCATTTGGATTTTGACTAGAACCTTATGCTGTGTTTAGATGAGAATACAATTGAGCTTTTCAGCAGCAAACCCTCCCATTATGACATCATTCCACCTGCTAAGTATGGTGGAGGATCTGTGATGCTATGGGGATGTGTCTGAGGGACTCCTTAAAAAAGGGAGCTTAAATAAAAAGAAAAAAAAAAGAAAACTTGTTATCAAAAACATGCAACCAAATCAACACAGAAATGCTGAAAACAATCAACCCTCTTCCAAGGCTACAGACTTAAATCATATGTTAATTTGCGGGGATAGCTAAAAAAAAATAGAATTTAAAATAATTATTTACTTTTTAAAGATTTAGTAGCAAAGAAAAAAAAACATTAGAGGAAGCAAACTGCTTATTAAGGAGAAACAGTGTGTTAATTATATTTATATTTATGAAAACATAAAAATCAGTCACTCATTTAAAACCATAGAGACTTAGACAACTTTATTGTCCTTTTGTATGCACAGAGTGTATATAAAACGAAATTTCATTGCATACAGCTTACGAAAGTGTAATGAGATTGCAGTTGGAGTGAGATAAACAACATCAGAATGTACACAATGTTTAAGAAAGTTTAAATAGTGGTGCAAAAGGGCATTGATATGAAAAAGTTCAGAGCAGTGCAAAAATTAATATGGTGCAAAATGCAGTTAAAATACATTTGAGTTGTGTCCTATTTAAAAGGTTTAGAAAAGTTGTCTCATGTTTGTAGTGCAAAATAATGACGCAGATAGTCAAATTTTTTTTTATTATTTAACCCATCCTTTCTCACAGCCTTTATTATAAACTATGTTGATCAGTTCTACCTTGTTTTTGCTCCAACATATATATATAAAAAAAAACACATTTGGGAACATTTTCCAAGAAACCAAGCTTTAAAAAAATGCAGTGTTGCCCTCATCTTAAGATATTGGGATAAAATTTCTAAAATCCATTAAATTTACCAACCAAATACTCTGATCCCAAAAAAAAAAAAAAGGTTTTTAAACAACTTTTAGAAAGATGATTCTATCAGCTAAATCACCCATTTATATTTAAATCTGTCCCTGTTGCTAGTCTGCCAGAAGCACTGAATCCACTGTGCTGAGCAGAGACATTCATCTTTGGCTAATAAGGTTCTCTATCATGAGTTAACCTGTTTATTTGATTGGCTGCTTGCCCTCCCTATTCCTGGACCCATTTAGTTGGTTTACTTTTATCTGTGAAGCCATTCTAGTCCCGCTCCATAACTAATTATGCTGCTGCATATCTGGGAAACTTTGAGATAATGGCTGCGTTTACAGGAAGCAGCTTCATTATCCGTCCCTTATGTCCAATCTAAATTAGGCAGCAGCACTATCGCGCTCTGTGATACCTCTAGACCCAAGCAAAAGCAAATAAACTGGAGGCTCTGTTGGGTAAACTAAATATATATTTAGAAAAATGGCAACTGAAATAAGCGACTTTATACCCACCCAACTACTTTCCCCTTGCAATACTCTTTTTGCTAATTTGACTCATGTTTAAGATAAGATAAAATGAATATCAGGCATAGTAAAGCATTGGAGTCAGTTTAGAAATTATTTTTTTATTTATGAAGAGAGAGTAGCCTCACCTTTTGTAAAGAAGTAATTATGCATCCTAAGTTTGTAAAATTAATCACGTCTAACCACTTTTTTAGTTCGATTTTTGTTAGGGATGAAACATTTAATCGGATTAATCATGATTAATTTATTATTGTAATAATCTTTAACTAATTTAGTGATTGATTAAACATTAACTGGAGTATAGAGACTCTAAAACATGCCTTTAGCTGAAAGATGAACCCACCTGCAGCAGCAATTATACCAAAATTGTGAGAAAAATATGCAAACATTTTGCATTTTAGATAAAAATCTTTTTCGTCTGTTAATATGCTCCATCCAGAACTCCTCAAGTGGAAACGTTTAGTTTCACCTGGTTTCATTTAGCAAAAAGTCTTCTTTAAGTTATGTTATTGTTTGTTATCCGATTATTAATCGAATAACTAACAGATTAATCGATTTGCAAAATAATCGTTAGTTGCAGCGCTAGCTTTAGCTGACCCATCCAGCCCTGATTACTGCCAGACTCGAAGAGTCTGACAGCAGGAAGTAGGCTAAAAGATAGCAAAAATTCAAACATCATGCCTCCATCCATCGAAATACAGGAAATAAAATCCACTTGTGTCTGCCAGGAAATGGTTACAAAACTATTTATAATGTTTGGAGCTCCAGCGAGTCGATGTAAGAATCATTATTCACACATGGAGAAAACATAGAAGAGCGATGAACCTTCCCAGGATTGGTAGGCCTAATAAGAATACATGGATGCACTGAAGGCCTAACTTCTGCCTACACTAGACTCCGTGTTTATGATTCAAATAATAAAATGAGACTGTGCAACAATGACATTACAGAGAAACAGAGATCCAAAGCTAAAACCCCAAAGACTTTTTTTACATTCCTCAGACTGCAGAGATAAAAATGAAAATATTTTTGGAGGTTAGAGCTAATTTAATGCAAACACAGTGTTTTCATTTAATGAAAACATTTAATTCTGCTCTTTAGTGGTTCAGCCAACAGTTTTTAAACTTAATAAGCTCAAGCACATTTGGATCATGCAGCAGGACAACAATTCCAAGTACATCAGCTACTGTAGTATAACACTAACTGACCCAAAAACAGCATTATTAAGCTTTAAGAGTGTCCTAGTCAAAGTCTGAACTTAACTCCATGCTTTATGCTGCCAAGGGTGAGAAAGCCAGTCATAAGGTTTAGAAGCCAGGCTGGTTTTGGATTTCTTCCCCCTTAGAGAAATCAATATTTGAGCGGTTTGTGTTTACCCAAGTTATCTTTGCATGAAATTCAGAGTTACACTCATGACTTAAAACTTCAAGTGTGAGAAGTAGAATATTTTTAGCAGCAACTACATTTTCACAACACTGTATTAAATACTTTTCAACATTTTTTTTCTTTTCTTTTTTTCCACCACAAAATGTAATGCGCATCATGATGCTCAATTTTCTTTTTCAAATTACTTTAAATATTAATTTTACATGTTTTGTGAGATAATCTACTCCGTTATTTCTGCAAAATGTGACGTTCCAGGCATTATGTCCAAACACCTTTTTGGCATAACCCAAGAAGCTGTTTCAACTAGAACTAAATCTTTTTGAATCATCCACATTTTGTCTTTCTTTCAATGTTTTATTTTATTTTTTGTCTCACAAAATCAGTTTAATGTATTCATAATGTCCGCTTTCTTTCCAAAATACAGCGAAAGTCATGGGAAGCTGACCGTTTTCTCAATGAAAGCCATGCTGGCAACAATGTGTGGAGGAAAAATCGTCGACAAGCTGCGCTGTAAGCATGATCTCACCCACTATAGTTAAAGGATACACAGTTTATCTGGTTGATGTTTTAGATGGCTTTCTTCTACACTCATGTCCTCATGCAGTTTCTTTATTTAAACACAGAGGGGCACTCTCAAGCCATATAAGTTTTCTTTATTATTTGAATGCAACAGAGATCATGCAACATAAATATGAAAAAAAAAAATTTTTTATGTTTTGTTGCTTTTTCCAACAATGAAGTAAATCAACTGCATGTTCCTCAGATATTTTCTCACAGATCTCTGATTCAAGTGGAGTCATGGTGTTCGCAAAGTTCGATCAGTTCCTCCGCGAGGTGTTGAAGCTTCCCACAGCAGTATTTGAGGGCCCGTCCTTTGGCTACACGGAGCACGCAGTGCGGATGTGCTTCCCTCAGCAGGTAGGGCGAGCGATAACAACATCCTTTATCTATTCATTTCTGCTTCTGTGTAGAATTGAATACATGTTTTTTTTGTTTGCCTCCAGAAGAAGATCATGTTGAACACATTTCTGGATGTGTTGATGGCTGATCCTCCTCCTCAGTGTCTTGTGTGGTTACCACTCATGCACCGACTTGCTAATGTTGAAAATGGTAAGGCAGAAAAGTCTATATCTGCTTGCAGAGTAAAAAAAAAAAAAAGTAAAACATTTTTAAAAAGCCTCAAAGCTACACCACAAAAACACTTGAAGCATTACAGGTTTTTGGATGCCAACAGTTAATTATAAAAAAATTGTGATGTGTGTGCAAAAGGTGAAACAGTCTCTCCTATTAGGGAAGTTTGATTATAATATGGCCTAAATTCTGAAATCACTTTCATATCAGATCATTTTCATAAAATCTGAGGTCTGATTAAATGTGAGACTCTGTTTGTAGGATTTATTCTCATTTTCTCTCATCAGACATATGATTATAACCAATAAAACAACAACTCATACTGTCAGTAAATGTTATATAAAACTTAATCTAAAATAGAAAAAACTGTGCAAATAATGACTCTCTTAGTATTTTATGATCAAAGGGAAAATTAAAGATTGAAAGCGGCTCCTGCATTTTACCAAGTGCTTTTGTGGAATTAGGAAAATATGAGATAATTAATAAAACTACATTTTAATACCTGCATCAGACACTTTTTTGGAGTTATTACTTTTTACCTTAGACCAAAATGCAGGGGCAATATCCTGAATCATTACAGTATGTTCATTATGGGCAGTATTAACAGGACGTATTATAAAACCAGAGATATGGTTTGTTTAAGTGTGCATAGAAATACTGGTTTAAATCATCTTCCCATGCCATCTAAGAAGTAAGAGGCAGACTAAACAGGCCGCCACATTGCAGGGAATTAATGAATCACTTCCATCATGTAGGCCGGTATATTTTTTTAGGGTGAGTATGAAGAAAGCTGCTAAACTCTGGGCATATAATGAAGCACAGCTTTTTCAGACTAAGAAGAAAGGTTCCCTGAGAATGATGAAAAGTGAAGGCTTGTTATATACCAAGCAGTAAGCTAGTACTAGGTTTAGACTTATTCCATTATTCAGTTCGTTTCATGTTTGAGAATTAAACTTGTGACAGTAAAACAACAGATTAGCAGGTGCTGCAATCTGAGATCTGATTCCTGAACAGAGGAAATTAAGAAAACAGTGGTGTTATGTTTTTAAAGCAAATAAAAACAGGACTATTTTATTGATAATGAGTTTAAATAGCCTGTATATGAGCACGCAAATACCCCTTTGAACATGTGATTGTTTTTTTTTTTGTTTTTTTTTATGGCGAGAAGGCAATTCTAGGTTCTAGTTACCTTAAGCAATTCATTATAGCTCTGGCATCATGTTTGGATTAGCTGTCTTTATCGAAGGAGGAGATTATCCCCCTTGGTCTTCCATAAGATTAGCTTCATTCATCTTTCATTTAACAGGGAACAGTTTCCTAATGCTTTCAGAAAAAAAATGATTCCCACAGCATAATGCTGCCACCACCATCATGGTGTTTTTAGCCTGCATTAAGTAAAATATGACTTTTACTTAGGAAAAAAAGGTAATTTTACCTTTTTTAAACCAGCAATAATGTCGACAGGATATGTGGCTAAATGCCATAAAAATGAATAACACAATGAGTAATTCTAAGATACTGCTGATCATAGTGTATTTGCATGAAATAACCCACAGCACATTTTTCTTGCATTCTGACCTCTCCACAACCATTAAAACAGCGAGGCAAGTTTATTTTTAAAGCACAATTCAGTGCAAAGACAATAAAAACTACTTTAGAAGGAAAATAAAAGCAGAAAAAAGCTATTTCAAGATAAAATCATCATAAAAAGAGGTAGTACACCAAATAAAATTGATCACAAACTTAAACTAGCAAGACCAAAGAGCAATCTAAAGTATGATAGATATACAGAAAACTGAAATGAGAACAAAAAAATTAGCAGGACGCTTGGTGACAAGGCAGTTTGGTGCTTAGTCACAAAATAAACACCAACACTAAAAGTGTAAGTCTGCCACTGCAAAAAAACATCTAGAAATAAGTAAAAAAATGTCTTAAATTAAGTGTATTTACCCTTAATTTGAGCAGGTAAATAAGATGATCTGCCAATGGAATGAGTATTTTTACTCCTAAAATAAGAAAATTAGATAATATACATTTGAAATAAGACAAAGCAATAGTTTTTTTCTTATTTTAAATGTAAATTGTCTTGTTCCATTGGCAAAGTGTCTCACTTACCTCCTCAATTTAAAGAAAAAATGCACCTAATTTGAGCAAAAATTGCTTATTTAGATCTCCATTTTTTGCGGTGAGAGGCCAAATAAACGGGCGAGCACAGCTGATGCTCCATGGAGAAGAGAAACTGTTCTAAGAACAGTATAACCTTTAAAATCCAAAGACAAGCATGGAAATAGAACTATTATGTTTTGTTGCTGTTTCTTCCAAGAATAGAAAAGATGCCTCATCTGATCAGTAGCCATTGGATTGGGCCATGCACCATAACACATAGGAGAGAGTCCCTTTTTCCTCAGCTAAAACACTGAAGATGATTTAGCTGAGTCCTCAAGCTGGGGCTTTGGGAACAACGTCTCTGTAAAAAGGAGCGGGGTAAAAACCTGCCTGAGACGTTTGGAAACCGGGTAAACATTTACAAGAAACATCTGAACCCCCTGGAAAACATAAGATATGTTTTTATCTTAATGATATTTTAATAAAAATCAACTTTAATGTAACTAGTTTTTTTTTTTTTTGAGTGTTCCCTGAATTTAATCCTTCTACTAACCAATCTTAAATTAAAACCACCAATCTATCTGTTATTTGTATTGGCAGTCTGTTTGTTGCTGGTTTGAATTTATTAATACAATAAAAAATACACAATACTTCATCAGTTATCAGAATTTATGAAATATCTCAATAGGAACAGTTGGATTAAAAATAAAGGTGTGATAACCATATTTTTTCCCCCCAGTCTTCCATCCGGTAGAATGTTCTTATTGCCGGAGTGAGAGCATGATGGGTTTTCGGTACCGGTGCCAACAGTGCCATGGCTACCAGCTTTGTCAGAGCTGCTTCTGGCGCGGCCACGCTAACGGCCCCCATAGTAACCAACACCAAATGAAGGAGCACTCGTCTTGGGTAAGGAAACGCTCTTTGATCGCATTATGTTTCTGCCATCTCTGCGCATTTTAAAAGTCAATACCTCTCGAAGACTTGAGGGGTGATTTTATGACAGAGCTGTCGTCTTAGTAAGGTTAATGATTTTTCAAAACAATCTTTGGGGTTTTTTATGAGGTTTAGTTATTTTGAAAATGAAATAGTATTGATTGGAGTCGCTGTGTTACCGCCTGTCCTAAAAGCTCAATCATGATGTCATAAATTGAAAGCAGGGAAGTGATATTACCCTAGATCCTGAATCCATTTCCAATTCCACTGGAAAGAATAACATACGGGTAGCTTCAGGACTGGAATGACATGATTGAAAGTATTAGACACAAAACACTGCTTCTGATATGCCAAAACGATTTGTGCCGCTTATTCTAGGATTTGAGAATCCTTCAGTAATGGATGTGGTCCTGCAAACTAAAAAAAGTCTCATTTGGATTCATCTTTCTCCCACCTCTCCTACACTGTTTGGTTTTAGCCAGTTTTCTACTGTGAGAGAGTAACAGGCTGCCTCTCTCCCTATATAGAACATGTTTATATAGAACATCCAATCCTGTTTGCATCCCTCCATCAAGGTGCCTCCATGTGCATGGTCATTTTTTCATTTCAGTGTCAAAACAATTTATTGTAAAATCGTTTTTTAAAGGCAATGTATTATTTTTTTTTAATCCAGGTTGCCTATTTCACTGCCAGAAACGTAAGCTTTTCAGATGAACAGACAGGACCAGAATACAGTTATTGGACAAAGAAAATATACAATAAGTAAAATGGAAGTGTTTTAGGACTACAGATGTGATAAATCTGATTCTGAAAAGTTTTAAGTCGAGGTATAACCAAGAAAATTACCCCAAACTACACAGAATACATCAGTTCATAATAATAAAAAGTGTCAATTACTGACTAATTCAATTAAAAAAACTAATAAAAAAAAGAACATATGTACCAAATACTAAAAATAATACAGTTTAAATGTTGGTTCTGATTAATTACGTATCTTGATTACATATATTGTGGTGCAGTGGTTAGTTTCCATTACCCATGTACGGAGGTTTTAGTCCTCGACACGGCCGACCCGTGTTGGAATCCAACCTGCAGGCCTTTGCACTATTTCTGTCCCCCTCTCTCGCCCCCCCTTCCCTGTCAGCCCACTATACAAAAAAACAAGCCACTGGTGCCGTAAAAATGATCTCAAAGTAGAAATACATCTACCTAACTGAATTTATTCACATATGTAACTTCATAGAAACAACCCCATCGTGATCAGCATGCCAAGGGCTTAAAGTGGCTACTACTGATAACATACTAATATTTCTTGAATAATTCAAATAATAACTATTTCACTCCCTGATTCCACTGATGCATTATATATAGAGCAAGGAACTTACCTGTCCAGCTGCTCAGCTAATCATAAAGTATGGGGAAAAAAGAGTACATGATGGTGATACTGTCCCACAATTAGCTCGGTTCTATCTTTTCGATTCTTTTTATCAAAGTCAGCAAATAAAACAGGTTGTTATAGGAGATTTAAATGATTGAGGACTTGATGTTTTACAACATTTCTTTGATTTTTTGTTTTTTACATTTAGAACCCTCACAAGAATTTTGTTTTTTTAAACTTCAACATATATATAATGATTACAGCAGCTTTTCATACCAATAAATATTCACTTAAACATATAAAAGTTCTTATAAAAGGTTTAAAGTTTATGTCTGTTTGTTGGCATATTAAATATAACTCATAGTGCAACAAGGGAAGTAACACTGAAGATTACAAAAGAACCCAAAAAGTTACATTTCATAATATCGCCCTTATGGTACAACTGATAATCACTTGGTACCTGCTGGGTGTTTATAACCATTATACCATTTAACCACTGGTTTGATCATCAAATCCTCTGTTATGTGTTGTAGTTTTGCATAATTTTAATTTCTGTTGTGACAAATGTATCAGAAATATCTATATTTTTCATTGTGGTCATTATAATTTACACTGGCATTAATATTTATCATTAGGAAGCTGAACTCCTGTTTTTGAGCCTTGACAGAAATATATATGTCTTTGGCAGGATTTGTTTGAATCCAACAAATGAGATGCAAAACAGATTTTTAAATGTATAACTTATCATGTAACTAGTAGACCACAGGGGCAATTTAGCCTTATTTAACTTTTGATAATAAAGAAGAGCATGATTTAGAAAATCATCTCCAAGCTGTATTGAGAAATGCACAGACCAAAGACTCCGACCCCAGACAATGTTTGGAAATATTCACTTTAGTAGACTCTAAGGAAGAGGCAAAGTGACATTTTTGTCCTACGTTTGCTGCCCTCTGCTGGTCTTTTATAGGAAAAAATGTAATAAGAGAGAGAAAATCAGTCTGGGTCAGATAATCATAATGCCATAAAAAGAAGGGCTTTTAGGATTTTTTTTTATAAATAGTCTGTTATATCAAAAAAGCGGAGATGATGATGATGTCATTCATCACATGTAAGTGAAGCACACCTGTGGATATCAGGTAACACCTTATTCACAGATTTAGTTAGGGATGTCATCTGCATGCTGGACCGCCACAGGTCTGCTTCATTCCTGGGTACAATTTCCAGAATCCTAAAAGTGGCAGATTTATCAGTTCAAAGGGTCATATATGCATAATTATAAACACAATAGGAAGGCAGGAAGCATATCGTGGATGAAGGAGATTCTGAGTTTTAGAGATGAATGTAAAGGACTGCAAAATGTTCTCATTAGACTATGTTGGGTGAAGCTGGAAAGATTGGCAGTAACTATAATGAAGCAAACTCTGTAGTGATATGAGCTATAAGACTAAGGAAGCATCTATTTATAAGCATGTAAAAAGCAAAATTACAACTAGCAAGTGGCATTAGATATTTGGAAACGTGTAAAAACATCTAGAAATAAGTAAAAAATGTCTTAAATTAAGTGTATTTACCCTTAATTTGAGCAGGTAAATAAGATGATCTGCCAATGGAATGAGTATTTTTACTCCTAAAATAAGATAATTAGATAATATACACTTGAAATAAGACAAAGCAATAGTTTTTTTCTTATTTTAAATGTAAATTGTCTTGTTCCATTGGCAAAGTGTCTCACTTACCTCCTCAATTCAAGAAAAAATGCACTTAATTTGAGCAAAAATTACTTATTTAGATTTCCATTTTTTGCAGTGTACTATTGTTTGATAAGAATGAAATAAATCTGAAGTATTTTATTCCCTTCTAAAGTATGGTGTCATTAAGAATCACTAAGAACTGATCTCACCTATAAAATGTATTAGCAGAGCTGTAAAGGTGTTTTAGTTTTGCTGATTCTGTGAGAAGAATGGAACAAAGTTTAACATGTAGTTCTATGAAAATTAAAATTGCCAATGTGTGATATTATGTCAGACCTTAAAAGGAAAAAAAGTGTAGTTTAAAGAGGTTCATTCTACTAAAATATGTTGCTTAGGTCTTCATTATGTTTGCAGAAACCACGGCTAATCCACGTATTTGACAGAGCAGACATATCATGCCTTTTCACCGAATTCTGAAACAGTTCAAGTTGGTGCAATAGGTGAGAGGTGACTGATGCTGTTTTTTTTTTTCTCCCCACTTTCACAGAAGTCTCCTGCCAAAAAGCTGAGCCACGCAATCAGTAAATCATTGGGCTGCGTCCCCATCGGAGAGCCGCCACACCCCGTGTTCCCGGAGCAAGCCGAGAGACCTCAGGAGCTCACCCATACAGTGTAAGGGCTGTTCTCCACCAGTTATCATTAGTTGATTAACTGGGAAATATGGTTCAATGTTCTTATGTTCTGTAGTCCATTCCCATCATGTTACAGCTTCCATCATGCGGTCATCACGTGAGCAATGGCGAGCTGTCTCATTGAGGTGTCTAGTCCCAGATTATTTGTTAACAGAGAAATGTGATATACTACGCAGGCTGAGGGGCTGCAGCCGTGAAGAGCTCAGTCATCCTCATCAATCTGTTGGCAATGAAACCAGGACGGTGCCATCAATCTCACATTCCCAGCTTTGGGGCTCCTGGAAGTCATTATAGGAAATGCATTATATTCTGCCACTGTCTTAAACTCTGCACACTCGTTTACATGGAAGTTGAAAAATTATACGGTTTCCACAATCAGTTCCACTGCTGCATCTCATCCACATAGTGTATACCGCTGAGTTCTCAGTCATTTTTTCATCTGTACTATTATCCCTGCAGACCTGTGGTTTCCACAAAAAGAAAGTTAGAGGTTATAACTGTAAAGACATGATGGATTAGTCGCTGTACAAACCAGAAATAGCTCAACTTTCTGATCCGAGTTTTCGACATGCTTCTTATTTCGTAATCCTTTTTTTTTATATCCCTTTCACAACAATAAATCTGAGCCGTCTGTTTATGCCTCTGCTTTAGGCAAGTGTCAGGGAGTAATTGATAGAGAGATTGCAGTTAAGCAGGAGAGTTGTAGCTCAGCAAATGCCAGGTAAAAACAGACTGAAGGGTACATTTTTTTCTTTTAATTTTTTTTCAATGCATGTTGGATCCCATTAGCTGCGAATCAGCTCTCACATCTATTCCTCCCCCTGGCAGTGTCTTTTATTTTTCTACACTTTGTCAAAATGTATTCGTTTAAGACAGAGATGAGAATTGCATCAATTCATAATTCATCACTTCATACAGAGAAACTGCCGATCCGGGTGTTTTTTTACTACATGGAGACAAGACGGCTGGATTAGGTTGTGCAATGTCGGAAGTGTAGCATGAAATCACATCACTGCAGAAGATTAAAAGCAATGAAAATACAAAAAAAAATGTCTTGTGGAGGAAATTGGATGATATCCTACTGATGCCCTCAGCGTCCATTCTGTTCTTTTCTTGTTTAGTGTTTGTGTTTTAGAAGACGGATGCATTTCTCTTATAATTTAGATAGAGAGCCTGTGGAAATACTTTTGATTCTTCTTCAGTTTATGTGTTGCTGTTTTTTTCTGATTTATTTTTTTGATCAAAAATCTTTATTTTTGAAAGTAGGTAGACAGAAAGTGGGATTATAGAGTGGGGGAAGGCATGCAGCAAAGGTCAAAGGGCCGGGACCCAAACCTGCAAAGGCTGCAATGACAATCAAAGTCTCTGTACATTTAAGCCCTGCACTAACTCCTTGACCCCTGAAAACGACCCAATCAAATTTAGAACCCACAAAGTTACAACCTTTAACTTCAGATACAAATTAGGGCAAATGTTAGTAGGAAAAGTAGTTTCTGAAAGAAAAAAAAAAAAAAAACAAGGTTTTAGAGGGCCCTACAGTTGGAACATTTTTAAATCATATTTAAGTGGATTTTTTAAAAGGTTGCCTACTGAAGATGTACAAGCTCATCATCAATGTTGCTGCATTGATTTGTAATTATTTATAAGAAGACTATATTGTAAGAACACAGTTCTGTACATCCTTACAAGTGCACATTGGAGCTACTCTTTTTAGTTTTTAAATCACTTTTTGGTGTCATTTACTATCTCCAAGGCATGTTTGGTAAAAAAAATATGTTTTTTTATTTTTTGCTGTAGCAATACATCCCATTAAATATAATAGGAACTTTGTGTGCTGCTGCTACTGAGTCTAGAACAAGGGTCTGCAACCTAGCCCATTAAAATAAATGTTAAAATACTACATAATCTTTAAATAAAAGCTACTTTGGTATTTGCCATTTTATAAAAAAAACCCGGATTATTTGTATTTTTTGATTTTTTTAACCCTGTAACACCATGGGTGTCATATTTGAGCTTTTGAAAACTCAAGTTTTTGTTCTTGAAAAACCCTAATTTATACAATGAAACATGAGAAGGAAACAGAAAAACAATGATTAAAAAGTGCTTAATGTATAGCAAATGACACAAATGATTTCTGATTTAAATTCTTCAAAATTGGTGAGATATTTTTATGTCACTCTGATAGTGACAGTGTTCATTGACAACCGCAGCTTAAGTAAAAAAAAAAATATTCTGTCACTCATTTAATGGTTTAGGCTTTACAGGATAAACATCCATCCATCTTCTCTCACGCTTATCCCAAGCGGGGTCAGCTGTCAGCGGGCGAGAGGCGGGGTCCACCCTGGACAGGTCGCCAGTCCATCACAGGGCAACACAGAGACAAACAACCATTCATGCACACACTCACACCTAAGAAGAATTTAGAGAAACCAGTTAAACTATCAGTCATGTTTTTGGTCTGTGGGAAGAAGTCGGTGTACCTGGAGAGAACCCACGCATGCTTAGGGATAACATGCATACTCCATGCAGGAAGACCGCAGGCCAGGAATTGAACCCCGAATCTTCTTGCTGCAAGGCAGCAGTGCTACCCACTGCTCCACTGAGCAGCCCAAGACAAAACATAAACATTTATTTAACAGGAAGGATGGATTTTCCTCTATAGGATATAATTAATTTCATGTAAAAAAAAAAAACAACAATACAAAAACATAGTTTCTGTCATGACTCATGAACAGAAGGACCCAGTATTCAGGAAAAACAGACAGTTGGATTACTCAAAAAGCGTTTATTTAAAATAAACAAACAGCGGAAGTGCAGTAGCAGCAGCTAAGGCGTCTTAAGGCAGGAAACTCAGGAGAGAGGAAACACAGGTTAACGACCATGAAAACCTGACGAAGGAAGATCTGAATGCGTAAGTCACTAACCTGGTTTAGAGTACAGTCTGTGCTCAGAGAACGAGGCTGATACCAGACGATCAGCTGACAAGATACAGCTGCTGCACAGAGAGTTCCAGACACCGAAGCCCAGAAGATTAGATCCTGAGAGACCAAGGAAGGCAGGATAATCCAGAGGGCGAAGTCAAGAGACAGATCCATGTATAGTCCACTAGTATAGTCCAGTAAGAATCCAAAGACAGGTCAGGCAAACAGATCAGAACAGGGGCAGGCAGGCTCAGAGGTCTGAAGACAAAAATGGGTCACGATCCGGCGATCAGAACACACATCTGCAGAGATGGCAAAAGTACTCACTTTCCGTACTTGAGTAAAAGTACAGATACTTGTGTTAAAAAATACTCTGGTAAAAGTGGAAATACTGATTAAACTTCTTTACTCAAGTAAAAGTAACAAAGTACAGGCTTGTAAATTTACTTAAAGTATAAAAGTAAAAGTAGAAACCACTTTTTTCATGCCGTTGCCTACATTTTAAATGGATGTCTGCCAATAGGACTAGATCTCCGTTGTGTTCATTTTCAATCATCTCGTCGTCCATGCTACTATGCTAACGCCACCGCCACCAAGCTGCAATGATTTGCCGCGAATGAATCTGTCGATTCATCTTGTAGTGGTGCGTCAAATGCAACGTAGATTCCGATCCAATTAGTTTGAATTTGGTATTGATGACGTGAAAAATAATAACGGTAACTCCATTGAAATGATTCAAAACTAAAGTAACGAGCCAATTTTTTAAAATGTAAGGAGTAGAAAGTACAGATATTTGTTTAAAAATGTAAGGAGTATAAGTAAAAAATTGCCATAAAAATAAGTAGTAAAGTAAAGTTAAAATAGCAGAAAAATCTACTTGAGTACAGTAACGAAGTATTTGTATTTCATTATTTCCCATCTCTGCACATCAGTAATGCTAGAATAATTCTCACACCAAAGGCTGAAGAATAATCTGGCACTGATGACTGGGAGCAAGCCTTTCAAATAGAAACTGGAACAGGTGGATATAAAGAGTGGTAGTGAGAAACTCTGCTGAGCAAGGCAGGTGAATGGAAACAACCATTAAACCAGTCATCAGTGCCAAGATCATGACAGTTTCCAAGTTAATGACAAGAAATATAGACCTAAAAGCATATTTCTAAACCTGCAAAACCTTCAAAGAATGGTATTTGTTAATATACTATAGCCCACGAACAGCAGTTTGCAGAACTCTGGTCTTGAACATTTTACCAAACAGTATTGTGCGGGGCGGGAGTCTGTAATTGTCCGTATGCCTTGCCACATGCTCCTGGTGTTGCTGGCATCGTGGAAAAGATGCCAGCATCTGGATTTTCTGACTGTGGTTCCGCTTTACTAACCTGATGGCCATGGTTCAAGTTGTCTCTCGCTGTCCTCAGTGCCTGACTTGAAGGCTGAGTTCTGTGCTTTCTGCGTTTTTCAAACCTCCTCAGTCATCCAGGGTCATTGGATGATGATGTTATTTGTGGTGCTGATGGCTTCAATGCATGTGTTAATGTCGGCTGACATAGTCACGGCATACTCGTCAATATTGATCTTGTTCTGATATGTTGCTGCAGCTTTAAACATGTTCCAGTCAGATCGTTCAAAACAGTCCTGGCGGGCCTCCATGGCCCACTCAGGCCACACCCTCACCTACTTAGGCCCTGTAGGTTTTCCTCTGATCAGCAGGGGCCTGTATGCAGAAATAAGCATAACAGATAGGTGCCATTATAGCGCCACCATCTTGGTTGCACCAAAATCTATAATTTTGTTCAAAACTAAGTTCTATCTTGTTAAGTTAGTATTTAGTATCTCTTAACATATATAAATAATATTATACCTTGTTAAACAAAGAATGTTTTATGTGGTATTATAGTGTGACATTAATGATAGTGCTGTTTTCTATGGAGAAATAACGTTGCATCACTCCCAAATGTGTCTTATCATATAAAATATATCCTAAAATATGTCATAATTCAGTACCAAATTGTACTGAACTGCATTACAACGTACTCAAATTAATTGTACAGTTTCATAC